AGTAAGGATTAGAAGCTTCCTGTGGAAAAGCAAAAGGTCCATAATAGCACTAACTGTGGAAAGATTACCAAAGCTATCCAATGCCATCATAACTAAGCAGAACAACAATTTCCAATCTACAAGAATGTATAATCTAATCTCCCTATGGATTTATAATTTCTTTTTCCAAAACATGCCATTGGCATTAAGACAGTCTGTAATCAGATACACTGGTGAACATTCCATAGACCTACTGTAAGTTTTTTATAGGGTCTTCAAAAGAATACACTCAAGGTTGTACATCTGCTGATGCAAACGAATCTCTTGGTTCACGCAGTGATGCTGCAGCAGAAAGCTGGTGGTTCAGGGGCACATGAAGGAGGAGGATTGGTGAATTGAGGGCAGCTGTACTAGGTATTATCAATGGTCAAGCAACGGCAGCTTGCCTTTCTAGAACTCTGTCTTCCTACTTCAATATTTCAGCCAGCTGTGTCAACACTGGACTCAGATAAAGGAAATCCATTTGTCCAGGCTGATGAAAGACCCTGGGAAAGAAACCTGGTGAGACCATGGGCTGACAGAGATAAAGCTTCCTGTGAACATAAATCAGAGGAGTTTCTGAGATTAGTCCTTTTACATCTCGCAGAGCTTGGTGATGGAGGCACCATTGGTTCTCTCTCTTCCCAAATGTCCTGTGCCTGTGAGGTGCTTCTGGAAAGGCACACCTGAGACCTAGGAACACCAGCTCCTCAGTTGCTGGGTGACAGGAGAGTGGTGAAGCTCTGTGCATCTTCTAGTCTTTACATCTCTAATTGATATTCAGAGAAAGGCTGCTGGCTTACAATGCTCCTATGCAGGAGTCTTCAAAGTGGGTAGCATGCACCCCTGGGGGTGAGCAAGACAATACACTGAAGCGTGGGAAGGGTGCATTAGAACTTTAGTATTATATGTATATAATTATCAACTACTAAATATACGTATACTGGAGGCGCTTGTTTAAAAATATTTTACTGATGGGGTGCACAATGAAACATGTTTGGAGACCACAGTTCTACTACTTTCAACAAATACCTACAGATACCTTAAATTTGGTTTCTTACATTCTGCTCTAACAGTGTCCAACAATGTCTATTTCTGCATAGCCTTCATGTCATCTCTAATTTCTTCACTGCCCTGCAGCAGTTCCGGTTTTTACTATTTTTTTGGGCTGTGAAGAAGGAAAGCTATGACTTCTTTCAGAGTGTCTAAGCTCACAACTAGGAAAGGGTACTAGATGACTGTGGCCAAAGGCACTGAGGGAACAACAAAGTAAGAAGAGAGTATGGTGCTGGGAAGAAGGTAGGAAAATCATAAGAACAGGGGTCTCCGCATGGAGCCAAATGTGGACATAAAGCATCCACCTTTGAGGCAGGAAACAGACTGTGTCCCAGGAATTTTCAGCAAATGGCTGGATCAGAAAGGAAGGGCCCTGAAAGGACATAGCAGATGGGAGAGATTAGATTTCAAAGTATTTCTTTAATCCATTTTACCCAGCACATGATCTGTAAGAGAACAGCATGAAGAACCTTCCCTGAATGGTCTGTGTACCCCAAGCTTGCCCACTATTGGGCAATTTTACCATCTCCAAACCTAGAAACTGCCTCTTTGCTGTAAGAATACAGGATGGAAAGTTTGGGAAACAAAAAGGAAGGCAAAGAAGAACCAGGAAAAGTGTAAAGGTGGTGAGGTGAAAAGTCAGAAGGTCTGAAAAACTTGGGAAGAAGTTTAGAAGTGGTAGCCAGCAAAGCTGACACAGTGAAATAGAATGGATGAGGAAGAGGAACTTGCACCAAGCAAGCAGACACAGCTGCTTCCATTAGAAATGGAATTAGAATGGATTGGTTGGGGATGACAGGTGGGAAAGGAGCAGCATGGGTCTGGCTGGGCAGGGGAGCTGTGATGACAAGCCTGAAGAGGAAGGATTTCTCTCAGAATTGCCTGCAAAGAGTTGGCCCTGGAGAAACTTTCTGTACTGGTAGAGGCTACTGAAAGAAACTGGCCTGAGATGCCTTAAATCCACTGCGACTAAAGAGACATCTGATGCTCATAGTCACCATTGACCCGGATACAGTCCTAGTCCTGGCCATAAGCACTAAGCCTATATGTATCTCTGAAAATGGGTTGCCAGTGCCTTCCTTGTATTGCAACAGGCATTTTTCTCTATCATTTGGAACAGAAGAGCCAACCTTTGCTTGATGGTCTGTTTCATGACATTAGTTTTCAAATCCAGCACAAATCCCTGCTAAGCCAGTACTTAACTGTTTCCAGTTTATACTAAACACCCTTCAGTAGAAATCTTTTCCTTGTTCCTTTGGTTCTCTTCCATGCAGTCAGGGTACCTCCACCCTTTCCTCATTGTCACATCTATTCTATGATCTCTTTTTCCATTAAGGAGGAGATGAGGTTTACTGGTAGGCTGGGCTGAATATGGTAGCCTAAGAGGAGGCTGCCACGGCTCCATGTCCCCTTGCCCAGCCAGTAGCAAGGCTGAGAATGTATCCCAAGTAGACACACATATATACAAAGCATATACATGTGTACAAAGCTGAACACACAGATCAACAGAGATGCACTCACCCCACCCACAAACAGAAACAGCACTAATCATCTCATCTTTCATCCCCGTCTGGCTGGGGTGTATAGTGGGAAATAAGGGTTCTGGGTAAGGATTCAGCAGCGGGAAATAGATGTATACATATGTACAATGTGCAAACTTCCCATAGGTTTCCATACTTGGACACTGAGTCCAGTAGATGCCACTGGATCCCAGTCGCCACATGTGCCAGCACCCGCACCCGTGGGCCCCCAAGTCCTGCAGCCCCACTCCAGTTGCTGGTATGCGCACATACACACAAACCTCCCACACAGTTCCCCTCCAGGAGATGCCTGGGACTCCCCTGCTCCATCTGGTTGCCACCTGCCACTGCTTTTGCCATTAAAGACATACACCCAGGTCGCCTCACTTATTTTACAGATTGTCTGGCTTTGTGTTCAGTAGTGATCACACACTCACACAGTGTCCCTCACCCCTACTGCCAGCATGATGAACAAATGGTACCTCTTACTGGTCTGTGGCCCTAATCCAGCTTCTGGTGCTTAAGTTCACTCACTCTGGTCTCTCCAGTTGCTGGTACCTGTGGTAATAGATGGTCACACCCTCAAGTAAATACTTAGAAATGGGACTTAATAAGACATGGATACGCTGAGCTAAGCAGGTACAAAGCGTAGCCAGACAAGCATATTCACCAGCATCCTGTTTACCTGTGTGACCCCTTTCATAACTGTATTTCTCTATTTTCCTGCATTTATTCTTCCTCAAATAAAGTAGTTCTGCATCTTACTTGGGAAGTCTGAACATACCTGCCTTTATCTTGGTATGTTTTGTTTTCCCTTGTTTCTTCTTTAATCTTAAAAGAAAATAGGCTGAAAGAATTAAATGTTTGGAACTAAAAAAGAAAAGGACTGTCAATCTTGCTGCTCTTCAGAAAGCAGCAACATGTTAGGCAATTCCAGAGACACACACTAGAGGTCCTGAGTTGTATCCTCCAGATACTTTCTTCTTTTGGAGAGTCTGCAATCACCTATTGTTTCCTGAGACAAAAAAGTTACTCTAAGTAAAAATCTTCATCTGCTAACTGATATACTGACTCCGAAAACAGTATAAACATTCAAAGAAAAATGTAAAAGATATGGCAGGTAATTAAAAACAAATCTATATGGTCTACAATTCCTTGAAAAATCACTGAAACTGTAATATATCCAGCACAGGGCTCAGTCTCACTGGAGCACAGGTAATTTATCCTGAGAAAACCCACAGTGGCAAGAACTGGCAGGGACTGCACAGGAGCAATGGTCGAACCCCTATTTCACAGATGCTAAGTGTCCGTGATACTGGAGATCATACAAAACTTTCATACATGATATATAATGTATTTTCTTTCCATTTCTGGGAAGAAGCTATAGCTTCTTGGGCAATTTCTGTTAACACCTTAAAAAAGCAGGATTAAAAAAGTGAGATAGGGAACATTCACTACCAAATTTTTGAGATTCACACTGCTCTGAATCCTCGTGTGATGCTAGGAACTCAACCTTCGGCCCTGAAAAAGTACAGTACTGCCAGGATCATAGACAGAATACATCTCTTCTACGATTAAGTAGAGGTAAAGGGAAGATATAAATCTCTCTAGAGCTTCAGGCAAGTATGGGAGAGGGGATATTAATAAAGTGTGAAGGATTACTAAAGATCATTGGAATTAAATCTGTAAAACACTGCTTTCTTGTGAAAACGCTAAAGCAAAACTTAAGAGTCACATGAATACTTAGCTTTGCTTTTAATAATTTAGCAAAGAAAGTATGAAAGTTGGACAGTCCTTTCTCTCTTCTCTGCCCAAACTTGACAGAAAAATCAGAGGAAGGGGAGGGGCATCAACCTCTCTTAACTCTAGGCTCACAGTGAGCAGGAACACTTTGTCCTGGGACAGCTGAAGGGCCATGCTGACTGTTTTGGTTGTTCTTTTACCTGGTAAGAGACAACAGATCCACCTGCAGCACAGCTCTCATTCAGGCCATGTGGGGCTGTTGTTAGGTAAAGGACTCTTTTAGTTACTGTCTGTACTCCTACTCCTCACTTTCTCTTTTTCTCTCTCACTAATACAGGTGTTGTGATCGGATACATCCTCATTGCACAGTGGCCAGAAGAAATCTTTCAGAGAGTTGGAGACACTGTGAACATCTCCTGCAACCAGAAAAACAGTGACCTTGCCTATATGTTCTGGTACCAGCAGCCTCAAAGAAATGGTCTGAAGTTAATAGTCAGTACTACTTCATTGAGGGAGAAATTTTATGAGGATGGTTACAGTGAGGCCAAGTTTGAGATAAGCAGAAAGTATACTTATACTGTGATGACAATCAAGAATGTGACATCCAAGGATGTAGCCACGTATTTCTGTGCTGCGAGTGATCACACGGTACAGCGAGCAGGTTAAGCGCTAAGATAAAATCCCCACCCTGACTGAGAGAGAGATGGAGTCTCTGAAAAATGTGAGGCAATTAGGAGAGGGGCAGAGGAAGAGCAGAAAAAAAAACAAGGAAGATGTTGGAGAAATAGACCCAGAACACTTTGGAGGGGAGAGAGACAAAGCAGTGCGGTAGCCTTTAGTTTCAAAGACAAAAAGCCTTCAGAAATACAAACCTATAGATCAACATTAAGAATTGAGGCACTGCTGATGTGGTTAGTGAAAGGCAGCATGTATTTCTTAAAATTAGTGCTGCAGTAGCACACTCATGTTCTGGGCCAATAGTTCCTCACAGATACCACCATAGCACAAGGGAAAGAGTACGAAGGAGATGAAGAATTCAAAGTTCTTCTACATACTGATGATGCACACAAAACTGAGGTATCCAAACAGAAATTGATTGATGTGGGAGGAGAGCCAAGCCCCTAATTATGGACATAGGAGGATATCAGCGGTGCCAGTGGGGGAAAACGTACCCAGGGGACCAGGCATGCCTCCTATTGTGGAAGGGAGAGCCCTTTGGCATCTTTAAAAGCAACAGTGTGCACTGCAGCATTTTATTCACCTGCTTCACAAACTGCTTAAGTGCAGGATCCCTCCCTTCCTTGCATACAGTTCTGAGCTGGACCAAGGCATTCCTTCATGGCAAAACCTCATTGGCAGAGAAAAGAAACCACAGAAAGCTGCCATCACGTGGTGCTCCTCTTGAGAGGAACAGCTGAAGGCAGAAATTTCCTCCCATTGTGCTTCTGTCTCCATTGCTTGCAGAGACAAACTTTTGATGAACTTGTTGCTCTTCTTTAATGGATCTGGGAAAACTGAGGGCAGGGTTTTATTAGGGTTCCCTTACCTGTCACTGCCTGTCTATGCTCCTGTTTTTATTGCATAACCTGGAACTTACCTCTTCTTCAAAGGAAGGGAAACAGCAATGAAAGAGCAAAAGATATTTTTAAGGAAGTATGGCTATACACTTGTGTGCTTTAGGTTTCTGGTTTTAGGCTGTGGCTTTGACATCTGCATACCACTGATGAAAACCCAATTGTCTCATACGCTCCTGTGGAGGGCATTGCATATCAAGCATTTAACTAACACAGGTAGCAAATGTACTATGCTGCTCATTGATGTGGCAAAGCTGGGTATGCTGAAGTGAAACACATTGTGTGATTACAGAAAAAAAAAAGAGAGAGATGATAAGAGCTGGTGAAAGGAAGGAGCTGGAACCAGATTTGAGCATGTCCTGTAAAAGAGCCTCATGCTCCATTTCACCAGCACTGCTAGGAGACTTTTGTACTGCCAGGATGGATCTCTCAATTTCATGCCAGGATCCTAGTCTCCTGATCAACCATGCTACAGAAATGTTACTTTGCTTCCAGGCTCTGCTGTGAAAGCAAGTAAACTGTTCTTGGCTAAGAAAATCCAGACCCATGACAGAAACTCGTGCTCGTTGTAGTCTCACCCTGCATGCAGAGGAGGCTCTGAAGAGGTTAAATCTAGTTGCATACCAGATTTACTCCAGTCCTCCAAAAACATTTCTGAAAGCCTCAGCGTCATATACCACCCCATGCACACCGTTGTAGCCAATATTCTTCTGACTTCAGGAGCTGCTCAGCAAATGTAACACACAGTTCCTTGCTCCCAGGGAGCACTTGTCCGCTCCTCAGAGCACCCTCAGGTCCACGATCTCCTCAGTGTTCATATCAGGCTGCAGACATGCAGCAAAGAAGCGCTGGGAACACATTGTCTGTCACATAGCAGAGATGAACTGAGCTCCTTATCCTCTTCAGCCTCTGATCTTTTTGTAGAGATAATCTTTACACAGGTATGAAACATTCTCGTGCTGTTGCTGTCTGGAGTTATTACTGGTGATTCAAATATCCTGTGAAAGTTTTTTGGAAAATAGTTCATGCTGGAATCATGAAGGAATATAAACGCTATGGTGGTGACTTTGGGGTGATTTTTCTTTTAGATCCTTTTTAAAAATACTCTTTTACTAAACTACCAGTTCCTGAAAACCATATTACAGTCTTAGCTTGGACCTTTTTCATAAGCACTGCAAACCAATTTTTTCAACTCTGGTAATGTAACAAAGGAAGGATCCCGTTCTCAACTCTTGAGCACGTTTAATTTAGCATAGCAAATGCAGTTTTAAGGCCTTGGCATAACAAATTTATCAGTGACCTTCAACATACAGCAGTTTAATGAGCTGGCTATTGACTGGTCACAGCTGTGCAACTTCCAGGCAGTAGCAGAAAACCACAGAGATCTCTGTTTTATTTGCTATCTTGAAGTTCTGCAGTCACAGTTCCCTCTTCCAGCTCTAAGGTACAATTTGCTCCTATGCAGTACTTGTCTTATCATCTTGAAGTGGCTCTGCACAAAAAGCAGCTATTCTAATAAGTTTCTTGTGAAACAGCTACTTTCCTCCTCATCCCACTCTCTGTAATCATATTTATTCAGATTATTAAACAGATCCCTTCTTTCACCATCTTATATTCTCAGCGCAGACATGCCCTGAAAAAAGGCTATTGCTCAACTTTAGGGGTTTGTGGTCAAAAGCCCTGGTGGTTTATGAAAATCTTCCTAGTGTCTCAAAGAAATCTGTAGATCTCCGGTAGTCTCTGTAGTAGGGCCTGCTTCTTTGTAGCTGCTGCTTCTGTAAACTCTAAGAATTGAGGACTGGTGTAAGTGATGCAATCACTGTGTTCTTGTGAAATTCTCCCACTAAAATGAAAAATTGTTAGAAAGTATCTCCCTAGATATCTCTTTCTTACATATTCTTGTCTTTCCTTGTCTGAAGCCTTACACAGCATGGCCCAAGAGCCTCTTATTAAAGACATGGAAATAAAAATCAAGGAACTGTCTTTCCTTTCTTTCCTCACTCTCACTCATTTGAATTCATGACCTGAAAGGCCTTTGCTTTTGGAAGGTTACAGAGGAACATTAAAGTGGGACAAGACTGGTCTCTGCTGGCATGTCTTGGAAACTGCCTAATGAACATGACCTGAGGAGCTGTTACCACCACATACTCCTTCAAAACTGATAGACAGGTGATTTCCTTCTTTTTAAATCAGGGACACATATGAGATAGAGTCTGTTAGTGACAGTGAGGACACTAATGGAGCAGTAGACTGGACATGAAGACAGAATAATCTTAAATTAATTTTAATACAATGGGTTTAGACCCTGAATAAATAGTGTTGAGATCAGAGGCAGACTAAGAGCAAGGCAGGCAAATAATATTGCACTATTAGTGTTATTATTTAGGCAGTGACAGACAAATATAATCCTAAATGTATTTTTTAAAAGAATTCAATATAAACAGAAAAATACCTTTGTCACTTCCATAATTAGTGACTTAAGCACCCATTTTCCTGTGATAGAAGAGAGAATAACCTAGGGGCATTCCAAGATGACTAGTCCAATACCTTGCCTTCCATAGTCCTATGTCTTGGTCCTAAATATTTCAGCTTAGTCTATGTTTTTTGTTCCTTTCCCTGGGACACTGACAACTGTTCCCAGCTGAACAGGTTGTATCAGAAATTATGGGTTTTTCTGTGATATCTGAAAAGATCAGAAAATAATTTGTGATTTTCCTAGTAGAATAATCTTGTTTTGAAGGATTGTGTCCTGTAAATAGACTTTACAGTCTATTTTTTATCTCAGAGAGACTCAAGTGAAGCTTTTAAAGAGCAATATGAGCAACTATGTGTTAACGTTTTGTGTGAGAAGACTGGGCCATTTATGTGTAAGGGAGGGAGATGAAAGTAGCCTGTTAACTGTCACCATCAGTTCCCACAGACAGTCTGCAAAATGAAGGCTCACTTTTACACCCAGATGAAGCCTTTTCAGAGGAAAAATCGGAGGCCCTGGGAGAAGCTTGTGCTTCTGCTTCCTGTATAAAGGCAATCAGAGGAATACAAGTTTAAGAGCTCAGCATCCTAGTTCTCTCCCTTTCGGAGCAGCTGTGACAAGTGCAGCACAGACCACAGAGGATGCTCTCAATCAAGACCAGGCTACATACAAAAACACCAGCCTGTAGTAAGGAAACCACTCTCATGGCAAACCAGTTATTGTGGGCTTGAAGTCTCTTTGTCGCCCTGGGGCAAGAACAGAGCAAGAGTGGAAAGGAAAGCACCATGAACATTGTCATGATGTTACCAAGTGAAAAATAACTGCATTTAAAACAAATCAATAAAAGAAAATAAAGTATTACCTTATTGACTATAAGAAAAAAGTTGGGATTTTAAATTCAGGGATGAAGGATACACTAAGAGGTTATTGGACTATCACACAGAAACAGCAGTGACAAAGGAAGGATGTGGTCTGTGGTTCTGTCATGTTTTAACCCCAACCAGCAACTAAGCACTACACAGCTGGTTGCTCACTCCCCTACCAGCAGGACCAGGAAGAGAGTTGGAAGAGTAGAAGTAAAAAACTCATGGATTGAGATAAAGAGAGTTTAATAAGTAAAGCAAAAGCTGTGCACACAAGGAAAGCAAAAGAAGGCATTCATTCACCACTTCCCATGGACGAGGAGGTGTTCAGTCATTCCCAGGACAGCAGGATCCCACCATGCATAACCATGACTTGGGACAACAAAGGCCAACACTCCAATCATCCCCCTCTTCCTTCTTCTTCTTCTCCCACCTCACTTTATATACTGAGCATGACACCCTATGATATGGAATATCCCTTGGATCAGCTGGAGTCAGGTGTCCCCACTGTCTCTTCTCCCAGCTTCCCATGCACTCCCAGCCTCCTTGCCAGAGTGGCAATATAAGAAGCAGAAAAGGACTTGAATTTTCTGTAAGCACTGCTCAGCAATAACAAAAACATTTCCATCTTATCAACAGTGCTTCTGGCACAAATCCAAAACACAACCCCACACTAGCCACTGTGGAAAAATTTAACTCCACCTCGGTTAAAATCAGCACAGGTTCTCATGGCAATCTTTCATGGTGACTGATTGACAAAAATGGGAGGGTGGAGTCATGGGTGGGATTGTTTTTGTACGAGGTTGTATCGTTGTGGGGACAGGGGTACACGATGATACATTCCCCGGGAGGCCTTTACAAAAACCTATATGCGCATAAACCTTGTGGAAGAGCGTGTTGAGGCAACTGCAGAGGATTCTGCAGCAGAGCAGGCGTGTTCTGCCTTGGTTTTTCTTGAGAGACCTAGTATGCTAGGATTTTCATCATCTGAGAACTGAGCCTGCCCTCTCTGAGAAGCAAGCTAAGAAATTCTGAGATATTGAAATAATTTTCAGCAAACTAAATCGACTGCAGGTGCACCTAAAGCTTTTCAGAGTATGCAAAGCAGAAATTAGTACTTTTTTCTGATGCGCCAATGTTTGCAATAGACAACAAAATGGTTCTTTATTAATGTGATGCAAGTGCTAGAAAAGGAATTCTGTCATGTAGCAGAGGCACTATATGAAGTGTATTGGAGTTTTCTCTCTTAAATAAGCCTCCAGTGTCCACTGACTGACTCATGCCTGTGAGAACAAAGCTTTTCTCTAATCCTTCTCCACACCGTCTCACGTCAGTTCTTCCTAATGGGTATCAAGGGTTTGTCTGAGACCATCAACTGATTATTCTGGACTCTCCTTCTGTGGATTATTTTAACGTATGAGAAAATTGAATGGAATCCTGAAAGACTATTCAAGATGATTGATCTGTCATGGAAGGGAAAACAAATGTATTTGCTTTAGTTCAGTGCCAAAGGCAAACCACCTACATTTGACTATGAAAACCACAAAACAAGTATTATTTGATTATTAACTCCATGAGGTACAGAAAGGAAGCCTTCACAATGCTCAGAGCACAAAATGGAGAGTGAGGGAGCTCTGGTTGTAGAGGAATTCTGTTTCTAGTCAATGACAGCCTTTGGGTACATCTGCATGTTTTTCAGATCTTCAAAATGAGAATAGCAGGTAATATCAATGGCATAACATGGAGATCTGAGAAAGGTTGCAAAAACAACTTGAGGTCAAATGTAGACAATAAGTATCAAAAAACTCTGGCAAATGCTTTTATGAATGCTACAGATTATACAGTAGATTTCAAGATGGTTTTCTGTCAAACCCCTTCAGACAGAAATTGAGTGACCTTTGAGATTTCAAATAAGGTAATGATTGCTTAAGCTTCTGCTTATAGTGAGTCAACTGCAGTGCATCCCTTTTCTTAGCTTATGATACAACACTTTGTCACTGTGAATACTAATAACTTGGTTTTCGGCGATGGCACAAAACTTACAGTAATAGGTAAGAAATTTTTGTTTTCTCTTTCAATTTCTTAATTTTCTGTCAAACCCCTTCAGCCAGAGATTGAGTGACTTTTGGAATTCCAAATACACTAATGATCGCTTAAGTTTCTGCTTATAGTAACTGAACTGCAGTGCTTCCCTTTTATTAGCTTATGATACAACAGTTTGTCACTGTGAATTCCGGTAATATGATTTTTGGCGATGGCACAAAACTTACAGTAATAGGTAAGGAATTTTTGTTTCTCTTTCAATTCACTTCTCTTTAGAGAACTTCACTTCATCATTGTTCTCCCTTTCATTATTAAACTGGTGTGCTCCTGATGTGCTGGTAAACCAGTCTACTTTGGAGAAGAGACTGAGTTTAGTACTCTAGGTAAGGACACAAGTTTCATTTTGGATAACTAAATTAACGCATGTCAGTGAATAAACAGCTGTCCATATAAAGAATTAGGATAAGGAATGGGTTAAAAAATGTGTGCATATCATTAAAAAAATTGCCGTAATAAATCGACATACGCAAAAATCCTTATTTCCCCAAAAGTATAGCTATTATCTGTAATGCTAGTTCTCCTGGGCCTACAGATGATTAAGGAAAAGTCAATGAAAAGCTATCTGTCTGTCTAGAAAGAACTGACTTACAGTTACACTTTGAACAGGTCTAGAAAACAAAATCAAGACTTTACAAGTGTAAATTACTTTGGATCTTTTCAGGGTAAACTAAAGCATGTGTTATCTCAGATAACTGTGAAAAACAAATGTTCTAGCATTTTTGGTTGATAAAACAGAAGGCACAAATAAATATTTGACTTTATAATAAGCAATACTAAGAGCTCTCTGCAGCTGTTTAATTCCTTGTTGTCACAGAAAGTAACTCTCCACAGCACAGCAAGTTTCTTTCCACTAAACAGGCTCATCAGGGTGGTGATAAAAGATCATCAAGGACAACGGTCTTTCTATTTCAGAATAGATGATAAACAGCCACTGAAAACCACAGAAACAGAGTATATGTTTCATTTCTAATAGAAGGAACTCTCAGGGAATGTTTCTTTCTGGGCCACATTTATGGATTTGGATTCTCCAATCCAGGGGAAAACAAGGTTGCTTCTAAGACTGATAGCTGATGGTGATCTCTTCTTCTCATTGTACTGCTCCTGGAGACTTTTGTACCACATTGTGCCACTACAGAATAAATTGATTACAAGTGATAAAATTCAATTTCCATAGGAAAAAAATCAGTAATCAGCTCATTTTTCAAAATCTAATGTGTATCTGATGTGTGTGAACTGATGAAAACAAATACACTGATCCCTCATTGACCATAGGCAATTATGTGGTTAACTTGAATAATCATCACTAAGAGAACAGAAAGAATAAAAGCAGAGACTTCTTTCCAGGGAAGGAGAAAGGGAGGCATGTTTAGGGACTGCTACAACTGGGAGAGTGGATCAAGATCCTGTGCTATATATTAAAAGTATTTTGCAAGTGAAGAAAAAAGGTATTTATTTTACAAATGAAGAGTATTCATGGTGTTGAAAAAAATGAGGAAATTAAGGAAATGAGGCTGTTTAGTTGAGAATAAGCAAATTATTCTTTCTGCATATGGAAAATATTTTTTAATATTACACCTAGATAAAGGGATAAATATCCTCTTAAGAAATGGTGAAAGTGTCAACAACTGATTCACCGAAGCCCAAAGGAAAAGGACTCTGGATACTGTATTTCTGATATTGACCTCAGCTGGTTAAACCCTCAGAAGTGGTGGTGTTCCCTTACAGACATTTGTTTTTTGGGACCATGGATTGCTGTACTTTGTGTTTCTTCTTTTGCTGGTACCACATGAGGGGAGGGTTAGTCCGCAGGTTTGGCTCAGAGGACTGAGAGTAGAGGAGAGGTTTTTCTGCAGCTGCAAAACAGTGTGAATAATGAAAGACTGTACTTTGGCAGTGGGACAAAACTCACAGTCATGGGTAAGTCAGAAGTCAGATCTCTGTGATATATGTGATACTGGTTTAGGGTACAAGAGCGCTCTTAATTAAAAGCAGAATAATGATCTGTAATAATTTTTCATACAGCCATGAGAACAGGATTAATGCTTTATTGGTTGCTTATTAAAATGAGATACGCTATTATGAACGTGTAGGATTTGCAGGCATCAATTTTGAGATCTTTGTGTCTGTAGCCTTTGTCTCTCATTTCTGGGAGCATCAAAGGAATAAATAATTCTGGTTCCTGCCATTCTCCAAGAAAACATTAGAGAGGTTGAGAATGAAAAATGCTTCTTCAGTCTGCAGGTTTTTGCAGTTCATCTATGTAACAATCCAAGCAATGTTTCAGAGGTAGAGTCTGGATTCTCCTGTGTGCTGAATCAGGCAGGGAAAGGGTAAAGTTGCTGGCACTTTGCTTGCCTCTCCATAGATGGTAGGCATCTGCTAACAGTCCTTTTCACAACTTCTGATTCTCTCAGGACACTTTTCTCCTCTCTTCCTTCTCCTTTTCCAGATTTGCTGTCTCTGCCTTCTCCCCTCCCAGGAAAGAACTTATCATCACCTATGTGTGGCATTTTGGAATCACAGGGCAAAGTAACCTTTCCCATCTGAGAGCAAACTGTAGAAATACACACTGGTGCCTGTTCCTTTAAACAGTTCCATTTTAAGGAACTAAGTGTCTGGCAAGAAAAGCATAATGGCACTGAGAGTTACAGCCTGATTGTGTGCGGCTGTGTAACTGGGCTACTTACCTTTGGAACTGGCACTGTGCTCAGAGTTATAGGTAAGTAGCTGTGATTAACCCAAGTACTCAATGTGGAGGACACTTGAAAATTTCTCTTGCGTTAATGATATGCAGCATATACACAGATGATTTTAAAATGAGAGTAGGAGTGAAAGAGAACAAGGAATTATGAAACTGACCTTGCCATGATGGGAATGGAGGAACCGCAGTACTTTTTCTCTTAGGTGGATGAAAACTGTGTGACTGGGAATGCATGAGTTTATGCATGGAAGTGATTAAGCTTTGTGCCAGTGCCTATCATGAACAGTGTGGGAGATGAGAACACAATGGGCTGTTGATAACACCTCTTTCTGGTTGCCTTTGTTCTTGCTTTTACGAGTCTCCTTATTCCATGTAAAACATGCTCATTTTCTGGCTTTCTTTGTCTTTCCAGTAGTTTTATCATTCTTTCTGTCTGCCTTTTTCACCTGCTTTCCTCTTTGTCTTTTATTGGTCCGTGTGATCTATCTTTTGTGTCCTCCTTTTGTTTCCATCTCTTCACTCATTAGCCATTTAGGCTGTGAGTCAATGAACTTGTCAGAGATACTTTTAAGATAGGAAAAAAATTATAAAGCCAAGTGCTAAATGGGGGCAGTAAAAGTGATCAACCTCCTATCCAACGAAAGCAAAGCAGAGCAGTGCCAAATCTTCTAGGGAATTTTCTCTATTAATATCTAGGTACAATTAAGGCTAACATTTGAAAGCAAACACTGGTGCTTAGGAGTCGAGATCTGTGAAGATATAAATTTCTGCTAATTCTGCTAACTCACTCTACAAAGGAGAGAGTGATCAGGAAAGACATCTACAATTTATGGTACCTTCACACTGAAAGAACAGCAATAGCTTTCTCTTTGGCTCCATAGTTCTCTCTGCCTTTCTGTTTCCACAAGCATTCTGCAGACCTGTTAGGTTTAATATGCTAGATAAGTAAAAAAGGCACTCTACTCGGTATATTGGGGAGAAAAAGGCTTTTAGCGTCAGTGGCTAGCTTCTGAGTAACTTCTCATTGCTGCCTTGTACATCCTTTTGGCTAAAATCTGTTCCCATTAGTCTTACATGTAGGTATTAAACACTATAGGACAGGAGACAACTTTCGGGTTGTAGTGTATAGAATCTGGCATAATTTTGTGAAGATGTGTAGTCTAGGACGAGGGCTTCTCATACCTAGGATAACCTAAACAAAAAATTGCATAAAGAGATATTTATTAGTCTTAAAATAGGATGACAAGTTAAGACCCAAAGCAAAACTGGTCCCAGGCTGATTCATATTACCTACCTCAAGTGTTCTTCACTTCAGACAGTGAGAAAGATTAGCTCTTTCCTTTCAAGTCACCTCTTAGATAGGGGGTCAAAGTAGGGTACCACGTGACGGTATAATTCTGAACACCGCAGTGACCATCATGTCTTAGCTACATCTTCAGGAATGTAGCTCAGTCCCTTGAAGATGCTTGTGCATTAGAACAGACTCCCTTATCTATTAATACAATATTACAAATACAGGCCTTACACCATAACTGGGTACTTTTCTGCCCACCTGTTTGCTCAGCTTCTTTCCAACTCTCTTATTCTTCTGACAGAGGTAATACTAGAAATTCAAATACTCATACATTTCTCTATCCAGACCTTTTATATTTCTGTGTATTAAAGGAAAACAAATGTTTTCAGTTTCCCGGTGTCCAATATCTAATAGATAGTAATTCTCTAATAGACAGTTGTTAAAAGGCCAGGTATATTAGGAGTAACAAAACACAAACACAGTACAATTTTAAGGAGTTTCTGATTGAATAGGGTAATGGAGGCTCTGGGCCATATTGCTTTCTGTTTCAGAGAAGGATAAGGAAATCATACCTCCATCTGTGGCCATCTTTTCCCCATCGAAGCAGGAAATCCAACAGAAGAACAAGGCCACACTGGTGTGCCTGGCCTCTGGTTTCTACCCTGACCACCTGACTCTGGTCTGGATGGTAAATGATGTCAAAAGGACAAAAGGAGTGGGGACAGACGAATTCTCCACACAAAATGGGAGCACCTACACACTGACCAGCCGACTGAGGATCGCAGCTTGGGAATGGTTCAACCCTTTGAATAATTTTGAGTGTGTTGCCAATTTTTTTCAGAGTGGAAAAGAGAAATCCATACACAAAGTTATCTCTGGTGATGCTGGTGAGTAAAAAATATGTAACACCATGCTGTACAGATTAGAAATCACAAATCAAAAGAGTGTGTGCTATGATATGAAACACATCTATGTAAAACTTCTATCCAGGGTGTTGTTATGCCAAAATATATATCTAAATATGTAGGCATTAGCATATGTCTCTTCATATTCCTGGACCTCTCTATCTACATTAGCATTATACATCTATAGTTTCTTCAACTTTTCACTGAGAAATCTCTGCAGTATAGTAGAACATATAGTATAATAAAATATATATTATACTAAAATGAATTTATTGAATTAATGACTTATAATGAATTAGGCAGTATTTTGTAAACTGAAACTTCTAAAATTTGTGGTCTGTTTGATTTGAAGAGAAACATGACTTTCAGTTTATTTTTGTCTTTCAGGTTGTGCAGTTACAGAAGGTATGTGTGTCTTCTCACAGGCAAATATCTGTATGTATTTGAATTCCAGTTTTACTGACACTAAGTACAAGGTGTGCAAGATTTCTACTACATGAATAGCTTCTGCTTTCTTATCTAAGTGATTTGTATGTTAGATTAAAAAAAAGAAAAAAGGAAGAAAAGACTTTGAGAGGGTTGTTTGTGCATACTGTGTGTAGCAACGGTGGTGGGTTTTAGCTTTTCCTTATGGTTCCCTTTTGAAAACAGAGAAGAAATACTGGAACCTTCCTGTAGAGTGTAATTTGCTCTTTATCATCTCCTTCTGTCCTTAACACTGCCTTCTGTTGGGAAGATTCTTGCTCAGTCATGAAAGAAATGATTCCTACTTATCCAAGTAATTATGACACAAAGATTCAGAATCCAAAATTCTGAATATTTCCTACATAAAATTTGACATACTTCTGATGGCAAGTCACATCCCACTCCAAACTGGAGTTATATAGAGAGGATATCCAGATTACAGATTACATTTCTTTCCTTTATGTATACATATTTACTCATTCCTGTTTTTTACTAACTTCTTTAAAGTTTCAGGAATCTTAAGGCCGAACCAACATTGAGGTGGTATCTCAATACTACTGCAATTCCTTAAGAGTGAAAAATCTACAAGAATAAACTTCTAGATACCATGTTATTCTGGGCTGTGTAAAACTCTCCTGATATGTCAGTAGCATTCATAAGGCCACTGACAGTAATGAGAGAAAAAAAATTCACATCTTGTGATTCAGCTTATTTTGTGTTCCTAAGAGGGAATTCAGATGAACAGCCTAGTTTTTCAGTAGGTGTGGCAACACAGTACTTTCTTAGCATAAAGCCGATCTCTGTCTTTCCTAGGTTTGCTTTCTCTTTTGGTTCTTTGGATCACTATGTTCTTTCCCATCACCTGCTATCTGGTGTCAACAGAAACATTCATTTGGCTCTAGTTCCTTTATGTCACTTAGCTAAAGATTTCAAGGGTTCATATTTTATTAAAACTACATTAGAACTAGTATCTCGTGATGATGACAATTCAATACATAAATGATGCTTGCTTTGCAGACTCGTACTTGCGGTATGGAAATTCTGTGAAGCTCACTTACTTCATTCTCTGTGGCAAAGCCTTGATCTATGCAGTTTTGGTGAGCAGTCTGTTGTGGAGAGCCAAGGTAAGCTAGTGTGCCACTCGAAGGCTGAGCTTACTCACTAGTCAAGGATCAGTGGATGCAGGCTAGATATATCCTCAGACCTGTGGTTTTTCTGCATGTGCTCTGCCAGGCTCTGGGCAGTCTAGTTCGAAAAATCACGAGAGATGAGTTTTCTATTCCTGTTTTTCCAGAACTCAAATAAAATCAACGCTATCTAGCAGAGAAATTCCTTCTCAAAATACTCTTTAAACACATGAAAAAGATGAGACTTAAGGATAAATTCTGTAGAAAGTAAAGAAGGGAAATATGAGAAATATCATACTTTTCTGTAACCATTAAAAACGGACTTATGCCTGCAGTGAAAATAACAAGCAGGTTTTTTGAAGTGATACAGGGGATAAATCTGAACAAATATTTACAAAGATTTACAAAGAATTGTGGGATAAATCTGAACAAATGGGAGAAGTTGAACTAACTGCCAGAAAATACCTTTTATTAGTAAGTTTCTCATATTATTGAAAGAGGTACCCAGTGAGAGCAGGGGAAGCCTCAGCACTTGTCCCTTTAAAAGCAGAACAGGCAGATGTATTTGAAAAGTGACATGGCAGAGTTGAGGGCAAGTATGAACACAATCTCAGTTATATTTTTGGACCTTTTCCAAGGATACCAGAAGGAGTGGATTTGTATTTTACTGGATCACAATCATAGAATCACAGGATGGTTTAGGCCAGAAAGAACCTTTAAAGATCATCCAGTTCCAAGCCCCCTGCCATGGACAGCAACATCTTTCACTAGACCAGATTTTTTTAAAGCCCTGTCCAACCTTGCCTTGAACACTTCCAGGGATGAGGCATCCAGAGCTTTTCTGGGCAACCTGTCCCACTGTCTCACCACCCTTACGATAACAAATTTCTTCCTTTAATCTAAAGCTACCCTGTATCCGTTTAAAACCAATGCCTCTTGTCCTGTCACTAGAGGCCTTGGTAAAACGTCTCTGTTTTCTTAAAAGTCCTCTTGTATATTGAAAGACCTCAAGAAGGTCTCCCCAGAGGTTTCTCTTCTCCCTTCTGAAGATGGGGTTGTTCTCTCAGTCTGTCTTCATACCAGCCCTCTGACAATTTTTTTGTGACACTCCTCTGGATCTGCTTTAACATGTCCAGAGATGGACACAGTACTCCAGGTGGGGTCAGTGATGTCACATGAGAGCAGAGCAAAGGGGCAGAATCACTTCCCTTCTGCTGGCCAGACTGGGCTTTTGATGTAGCCCAGGATATGGTTGGCTGTTTGGACTGCGAGTACACACAGCTGGGTGACATACCATTTTTCATCCACCAGTATCCCAAATTCCTTTACCACAGGGCTGCTCTCAAGCCATTCATCCTCCAGTCTGTACTGATCCTGGTGGCTGCAGGGTTCACATGGGCCCACTCTTTAAGTCTGTCCAGGTCCCTCTAGATGACAACTCTTCCCTCAAGCATATCAACTTCCACTGAGCTTGGTGTCATCTGTGAACTTGCTGAGGGTGCACTTGATCCCGGTATCAATGACACATTGATGAAGGTATTAAATGGTGTTGGTCCCAGTACAGACCCTTGAGGGAAACTATTTATTACTAGTTATCACTTGGACACTGAACCATTGATGGTAACTCTCTGGGCATGGTCATCCAGCCAACTCCTGTATTTGTTTATTTTGCTTGGTGGTTGTTGTTATTATCATTTTTTTAAAATATCTTTTATTCTGTTTTGTTTTCAATTAGGTAGGTGGCAAGTTGTATAAAGAATGAATGAAGACCCCTCTTCATCACGTCAGCAGGAACACAACAAGTTATACCCTCTACCTTTCCATAGCAAAGGATCTATGCTTCTAAGAACTTCTAAATATTTTTTGATGATTCCTTGTCCCACTCCTGTTCTCCACTTTGTTGTACTCACTGCTGGATTTTTCCTGTGCTTCCATATCATATATTATGATATCGTATTGTCTCATATGTTTAAAACTAGCACCTTCCTAATGCTCAGAGGCTGAGAACTCAGCTCCTTGATTTAGGAATAAATTTTTAGCTTCTTTTCCATTGAAAAAACATGAGTTGTTGTTTTTCAATTTGATCTTTTGTAGTAATAATGTCCTACCACACAACTTTCAGTGATGAGTGGTGTCATAAGGAACTCACATTAAAGATCATTCATGGACAATCTTTATAGGAATAATTTATCTGTTATGGGAACAGAAGACGACTCATCCAGTACTTAGACTGTGTGCCAACAACTGGAGCAAGGCTGCAGGCTTTAGAGGCTTGCACACTCCAGTGGCTAATTTCTAGCCAAAACAGATGCATAATTCAAAGGTGGTAGACAAGGAAACAGAACTCTAGCCAGATGAGAAGTGACACCCTCTCAGGAGAGGCATGGTAGCTCCTTTCTCTCTCACAGTGTTCTTACTCGAGATTAGCTTGGTGATGGCACCACACTCATTGTGTTAGTGAAGAAAAATTTTGTGAATAAAGGTTGCCTGACAATGTGTTTGTTTCAAAAGGATCTGATGACAGGTTTGAGATGAAGGTGGCATATCTTTTTTTATGTCATTAAAGGAAAAAACCTATATCTAAGTGCTAGAGGACAGATGGGTATAATCCTATAAAACTGAGTTATTTTTCCTGCTCTGTGCTTGTAACTCCTTTAATCTCCTCTAACCACTTCAAAACAAGAGAAAATACTATATTGGAAAAGGAGATTTATTGGGTGTTCTGATTACAGAAATTATTTATGTAGTCTTATGGCTGTTTCAAACAAAATGGAGAACTGTTTCCTGAAATTACTTTTTTCAAAAATGTCTTTATGGGTCTCACATTCACAAGATGTGGACAACCTGGTCTAGTGGAAGGTGTCCATGCCCATGGCAGGGGGTTTGGAACTAGATGATCTTTAAGATCCCTTCCAAACCAAACAATTCTGTGATTTTATGATTCTATGAAACACTTTTTGTTATCCTCAACCAAACAATTTAATTGTCCCTCAATAGTTCACAAGAAGTCTTAGCATTTGCTCCACTATTAAGAAGGAAATTTGAGTTGATTTATCCATTACACAAACTAAACACACAGAAATAGTCTCGGCCATTTGGACACCTATCTGTAAGCTTTTACAAATTTAGGCAATAATTTTTATCTGTGCTTACACAGAACCACTGCAATTTGGAGGAGAAACCAAGCTGACTATTACAATTAATAAAATGTTATTTACCAAGTATGTTTGAAATAAAACAAAGGAAGCCCAGAAAGAATTTTCCTTTCAATTATTTCTTTTTATAGCTATATTTTCTGTTTTAGTCAAGTCATGTTTAACTTCCTCTGTGTATCAGTGAGAGACATGATCGGTTGATGATCAGTCTTATTTTCATAAATATTCATAAATATTTCTTGCCATGTTTGCCCTGAACATTGTAAAATACTAGGTCATTTTTGCTTTTGAAAGATTCAAGAAAATAGACAACAATACAGAAGAAGGGAAAAAACCCAAAGAGAAACACAGACATGTTCTAGGGAAACCCCTAGAAGAACAAATAAAATGTTTTAATTCTTGGAGCAAAAATCATAAGCTAACTTGCAGATCAAGTTAGTCACTAACACTCTATTCAGGAATAGAAAGATAGACTAAGGGACAAATTAAACCTCTAATTATGTATTTTAGGAGGAGAAGAAGGGTTGATGACAAGGAACTGCTGTCTAAAAATCAAAACAAGGGACTAATATACTTAGGAAACAGCATTTGAAAAAAAAGGATGAAGCATATAATCTAGAGTGAAGGAAGAAAAAAAGGTTGGTGAGCAATTTCTGTGCCAAGTGGGGCATGGAATAGGGGAACATTATCTGTTGACACAAGTCAGTATTCCAGGGTCTTGTGAACAGAAAATAAACAGCTCCATACTCCTCGCATTTGGTGAATTCCCATACCCAAAATTTCCTAGATCACAGAAGATGGGAAGGTGATTAGAGAGGGAACCAAGGAGTTAATGGAGGCTTCTTCATCCATGACCCTTCAAAACCTTAACTGTTGCAACAGATATACACTATTATTTTCTTATTGTTTCTCTCTCAAATTCAGCCCACAGACCACAGTGACTACTCTGAGTAATAAGCAAAGGCTGACAGCAAAGCTGAGTGCATCTCAGCTTTTCTTGCACCTTCCTTGACAAACATTTTTGTTAGCACATGCCAGAGGTACTGAGCTTCCTGTGGGAGCCAGCCTTTTCATATCTGAAACAACATCTCACATGAAATGTGTACAGTAGAAATTCTTTCTGGTAGTTATGATAAACCTTTAAAAGTACTTGAAAAGTACATCTGGTTTTGTGTCCTTCCTCACTTGAGGCAAGCAGAACATTAATTATGGGAGAGGAGAAAACAGAGTTTGTGAGTTAGACACCCAGTTGTTACACGCATTACAGGAAAGAATGTCCATGGGTAAGGGATTTACCATTAGGTGATTCCAAATTCTGCAGAATTAAGTAAGGAGTGAGGTCAAATGTCAGGCTATGTGATTACACTTCAGTCTGCTGGACTGCAAAAAGGTAGGATATATGACAACTTGCCTAAAAAAAAGAAAAGTCATTGTCTGGGATGTTTAGCAGTCAGTGTTTTGCTAAGTCCTATGCCTAAAAGCAATATTTGTAGGGTCATGGCGAAGAGGATGCTTAACGTCAAAACAGATTAAATGAAAATTTATTTTTTTTAAGCTTGAAAGAAAGGAAAGTAATGAAAGTGAAGGACTGCAAGGGAAGGATAAACAGGATCTTCCCAGTGGTCCTGGTATTTCAACACAGTAGGTGTTACTTAGGTGAAGTAGCATACTACATCTCCAGGGGCTAGTACAGCTCTTTTCAGGGGTGGGGAGTATTTCAGGAGTGGCTATTCTGGGTATGGTAGATTAGGAAATAGAAAGATTGAACAAGCTTCTCAGGCAAATTTCATATGAAGGTCAGAAGTAATAAAGTATTTTGAAAAAGGAACGTCTCACTGTTCTAGGTAAGGAAAAAAAAGGAGAAGTCAGCAGAGCTTCATTAAGAGGGCTAAAGATGGTGCTTCAGGAAAGACAGGTTAAGAAATAAGGAGACAGTAAGGACTGTGAAGAAGAAGAAGAAGGTGACAAATTCATCAATTACTGAATTTGCCCTGTGAATAGGACATTTTAGTGTTAAAAATAACAGATTAATAAAACTGTGAAAAAAGCTAGCAAGCATGCAACCTTAATGGAATAAACTGAAGGGAATGAGAAGGTTGAGACAAGACCAAAGAGGAAGAGACCTCAAGTCAGATAAGTGCATTCTGGAAGAATATATGCCAGCTCTACAACGCAGAACTCCCAGAGACTTTATGCAGCATGTGCTCAGTCTACTGGCTGTCCTCCAGAAGAAATGAACTGTGTGACTGACCAAGTCTTTGTCACAAAATTAAATTGCTTATGGAATGAGCTAATCATTATGATGCCCCCTTATTTTTGCAGTCTATCTCCCACTGTTCTATCCAAATTGAATGTATGTCCATGAAAGGAAAAGGCAGAAGGACTAGGAAGGATGTAAAATGTATTCATGAGGAACTGCCAAAAGGTGTGGAGGCTGGAAGGAAAGAAAATAAGAGTGGGTTCAAATGAAAGAGACTGGATATTGCAGAATGTATAATGATTCCTAAAAATTGTGAGGATATTGATGTCAAACTACAGCACCAGACACTAAAGTGCTTTACTACTAACAGAAAAATGAGGGCTACTTTATGCTATCATTTGGCTATTAATCTGAAAAAAAATAATTAATGATTCAACATGGTTATCACTGAACATTAATCCAGGATAGGTGTGAGTAGTTTTGATATTACCCTATGAGGCTGTCCTGTGCCAATGTCCAGTATTTTGGAGAAGAAACAAAAGTAACGGTTCTCAGCAAGTGGGACTCATGAGAAGGCTGTGCAAGGGGCACATTTCAGGGAGTGTGACAAAGATAAACAGAGAAGTCTTTGGATTCAGATTATGAGTTCTTTTCCCAAGATGCCTTATTATTCATGTTCTATGAAGTTGGAACCGCCTATTACACAAATGATTGTGCAAACAGGGCACTTTAAAAGAGGGGCTGATAGGCATCTGGGCTTAAATAATATCTTCTTTTTTTTTTCTTCTATTTTTTTTTGGACTGCAGTATCTTCAATGGAAATTTAAACCCTTCATGTTTTCCCCTCTTAACAGGGAGTTTGTTTGTCTACATATACACCTGTGTATGCAAAGAGAGATATGACTTTTGTATATGTGCCTCAATGTGTCCTGTGTTTGTTTTCGCTGGCAGGCACTGCTATTTTCCTAAACAGATGTAGGAATAATGCACACCAAGGTAGAGGAGTGCTTGGGGAGCTTTGGAAGCAGAAGACCTGAGAATGCAATAGAAAGGCAGAAGGAGTAGGAGGCATGAAGTGGAGACCCTGAATGGAGTTTTGGTCTAGTATAGAGTCAGCAGCAGGGGAAAATGTCTCTGAAGGCCTCAACAGAAAATGGTACCTCAGAATGAGAGCAGGTTATGTGCCAAAATGTGTTTGAAAATATCTCTTTAAGGGAACAGCAGTTGAATTTTAGCAAAACAGGATGCGGTTTGACATTTACTCAAAAAAAAACCCGTTTTGATAACACATCAACCTCTCTTACCACAACACCACCCTAGCCTCTCAGGATCAGGCACAGGATGTGGCTTTCTGTTCACCATTTTACGGTTGGACAGAAACAGTGACACATAAGGGGCCTTATGAAAGTTGTTGGTTTTTTTGTCTCAAGTTATCACACAGTCTTCTTGTTACTCAAGTCTGCAGATGGGGTCCTGCATGTGCAGCTGCTTTTCTGTTGTGCAACATACAAAAAAATTAAAGATTTGTGGGTTTGGGGGAGGTGCTGATCTACTTTTACAAATTAAAAAAAATCCTCACACTTTTTCTAGGCATCTCAAATCAGCAAAGCAAGATAAGCATAAATTTGTAGAAACATTTTGATGGGAGGGGACTTCTGGAGGTCTCTTCAATCCAAATTTCTGTTCAAAACAGGACTAACTCCA